ACCAATAACAAACACGTACATAACACTTACAGCAGACATTTCGTCTTCATGATGTGTTTTACGTTATCCGACTCGAAGGACCAAGATTTATGTTCATGTTAATTTCGTAAAGATTGTCATTTTCATTAACTTGGTTATGGATTTCGGCACAGAATGAATTGATCTCCCCGCTCTATCAGCCATCATATCTTAATTCACTCACTTCTTAAGCATATCCTCTATCACAATCTATATTTTCTTTGGTCTTTCACCACCTTTGTAGGCAGTAAATTTTAATGTCATGTGAATTTTACAATAATTCAAGGTATATTGGTATATTATAAATATAGTATGTGTGTCCGGTGTTTTGGCATACCTGCAGTTACACTGCTGGCAGGGCGGCGGCGCGATGCCGGCGAACGCCTCGGGTACAGGCTGGCAGCGCCGGTCCAGCTTCACGTCCGCCATGTTCTGCATGCACCCAATGCACTGCTCCACCTCCTAGTATATGTGATATACAAAAACAAGCATCAGTAGCTGTAGTTAAATTCATTTATGCCAAATTTGAGCAAAACATTTTGAGACATTCTAGAGACAGTCACAACCATCCATCCATCTAAACTTTGACATTTTTAGCATTAAGTAAATAGTAAGGCTGCTAGATCCTCAGACTTCCAAATCAAGTAATCACCACATAAATAATTCTATTTCATTTAGTATGTTTTGGTAGTTTACCTGATCAAAATAGTAGGTAGGGTTCTGGTCGACATAATGTTTAAACTGTGTGATAAATCTCTCAACAACGGTGGGCATTAGCGAGATATGTTCGGGCACGCGCACGGGTCGCGGCAAGCGGGGCTGCAGCTCGCGCAGTGCGTTCGTCGTCAGTCGGAAAGAGAAGGGCTCTACATCAGGCCGGTACGGGATCAATTCTACATTCACATATTGCACCTCTCCCTCACCCGTTGGAGTCAGCGTGTGGTTGTCAGTCTGTATATGAAAAAAAAATGATAGTTAGAATTTAAAAGCCATAATAATTATGTAAATTTGAAGTATAACTTACAGCAGTAGCAAATAAGGAACAATCTTCATGCTTTACAGCATTCACACCATATTGTGTAACTCTGAGGAGCCAAGCGTCAGTGGCCACCAACTTGCTAGTGGCAGTCAATGGTATACATACTTTATCCACGCTGCAAGAGAAGTCTTAATGTTTAAAACACATGGGTACTTAACATATTTATTACTTTCTGATATTAATGTATTTTAGTGTATCTTGTTCATGTATATAACAAGATTACCTTCGAAAAGCAATGTTGATAGTATTAGCGACCACCCGCCAATCGCTGCCTTCCGTAACATAACATAAAAGAGGCCGTACCACAGGATGCTTCTGTTTCCCATATTCCCACCAGCAAACGAGCTTATAGCACATCACTAACGCTAGAGCAACCGTAGACGTAAATGCCGCCGTCATCCATGACCCAGTCTCTCCACCACACCACAGGGTAAAAATATATCCCAAGGGCAAACAAGAATGGATAAAAGCCGTTATTGATATTCTCTTCATATGATATCCGATAAAGTTCGTGTTTTCGGAACCTAAAAATCCCTCAAATATTTGAGGAATAGTAAACCCAGCAGCCACAAACTCTGTGGGTGGATAAATAACGCAAAAGGAAAATAACAAATAGAATAATGTGAGAAGTATATCCATTGCGATGGGCATTCAAATTCACAAACAGTTTATTATTTCTAACTAATATTACAACGCACAAGACGAAATCATAACATAACAGATGCGCAACTTCCTTCTTGTTTTTATTAAAATTGTAAAATACCAATAGTTCTTATCAATTACAAATTCTTAAAATTGACATTTGACAAATGGTCTGACAATGACATTAGGAAAACCCTTGCCTAGGTGAAGTCCAGACGGTCCAGACCAAGTCCAGACCACCCTAGCGAATCCTAGCCCAAATCCCGCACAAAGCACTTGCAATAGTTCTACAGTTCTAATGAAAAATCGATAATACTGTAAAATCTGTATTCCACTTTAGATTCAGATAATTTGGCGAAAGAAAAAGGTAAACAAGCTTATGGTTTTTTCTTTAATGAAAAATAATTTATTGCTATGACTCGTATGAAATAGAAAAAAACGGCACGTTTGCACTTCTGCATTATTCAATTCTTTTTTTCCACGTTGTTCAAAGAAACTGCTATAATAATTTTTTTTTGAAAATAGTTTTCAGAACGAACAATGATATATCAATGTCAATTGTCAAAGTGAAATGTGGATGTGGACACGTATTGATCAAAATTGTTTGATTTATTTTTGAAATTACTTGATTAGTTTGGTTTTATTAAGTGTTTTAAATTCGTTCTGAATAATTTTAGTGTAATCGTGGCAAATTTTTCACACAGAAGCCGTCCTTTTCTCCAGGTACATTTTCAACAAACATACGCATACTTATTTATATTAATAAAATTGTTAATTTCCCTAGGATCTTCTACAATAATTAGGAATAAGAAAATAACGTAACCAAATACGAATATACAGTTTTTAAGACCAAAAAAATAGATAACCGGCATTTTTGTATACTTTTTAAAATCATAAAACGAATATTAAACATCATTGATTCATACATTCCCAAGCATAGATTATAATTTTATCTATTTCGTTCTTTATTAACCTCAGCTGTGGTTTATAGCTTTAATGAAAAGCTTCTTTGTAATAAGATGTGTCACCAAAATTGTATTGCATTTTAGCACAATGGCAGGTGTGGAACAGCCCTGCTACACTCTGATCAACTTTCCCACGGACACGGAGCCTCACAATGACATGCAGCTTAAACTTGATCTAGGTAACATTAGTGCTGTGTTCTAATAGTATATATTTTTTGTGAAATAACCACATTAGATGAGTTTTATTATTTCCTATTACTATTTTAAATAATGTAGAATTGGTGCATATTATTTTTTTGCAACAGAAAAGGGAGATATAAAGAAAAAGATTGAAGCATTAAAGAAGACTATTGGCATTATTCTCTCCGGTGAGAAGATTCCAGGTCTTTTGATGATCATCATAAGATTTGTGTTGCCATTACAAGATCATACTATTAAGAAGCTTCTACTGATATTTTGGGAGATTGTTCCTAAGACAACATCAGATGGAAAACTCCTGCAAGAAATGATTCTTGTTTGTGATGCATATAGGAAGGTAAGAATTCTGTTTATGTTATGTACGGCTAGGTGTATTAATTATAACTTTATATAACAAAAATACTGTTTATATACCACTGTTAAATTCTATGATCAAGTTAGAGGTGTGTGTTTTAAATTGTCAGGACTTGCAACACCCCAATGAGTTCATCCGTGGCTCGACACTGCGCTTCCTGTGCAAGCTTAAGGAGCCAGAGCTTTTGGAGCCACTGATGCCTGCCATCCGAGCCTGCCTTGAGCACCGACACTCCTATGTGCGCCGAAATGCAGTTCTCGCTATATTTACTATCTATAGGTATTTCATTATTATTTTAGTATCCCTAAAGTTACACCTTTTTTAATTTAATTTCATTTGTGTAAAATTATAAATGTTTTCCAGAAATTTCGAGTTCCTAATCCCTGATGCACCTGAACTGGTGGGGAACTTCCTAGAGAATGAGCAGGATATGTCGTGCAAGCGCAATGCTTTCCTGATGCT